CTTAAACATTTTAAACTTTTAAATTAAGATCTTTAAGTATTTGTTTTTTTTTTTACATCTTATTAAATTAGATTAAGTTGTTAAAAAATTACTTGATATCTCAGGTATCATTGACTAAAAAATCTCAATGTTCAAAGTTTGAGTAACTTCGTTTATGTCTTGTTTGTTTATATAAACAAGACTAATAAAGCATAACGTATTTATTTCATTAAATTTATTTTCAGGTGAATATCAAAAAAAAATTATATATTTCGGGTAATACCCGAATTACCCAAACCCGACCTGATACCCGAATTACTCAAACCCGAATCACCCGAATTTAATTTGGGTCGGGTAACGGGTATTTTTTTTAACATGAAAAACCCGAATTACCCGACCCAAATTACCCGAAACCCGAAAAAATTACCCGATCAACACCCCTATGTGTAGGGGTTTGAGCTGGGTTGATATCCGGAGTCGGGGATTGTTCAACTACTTCCAGTTTTCGAGGTGAGTTACCTTCCCGGTAGCAGTGGGTCTAAGACACCAAGGCCGACCCACTAGTAGGAGTTTGTAGTTAGATGATTGTCTTTGTGATAATTGTCTGGTATGCCAATATCTGTTATGATTTATGTGCTAGTATGCTATGATATTATGTGGTAGTGGTATAGGGTGAAATAGACCCCGCATCCGGTTGATAAGACCGAAGGGGTAGGTCGGGCACCCAGATATACCTGACAATATGTTTATGTATGATTATGCATGCTGCTATGTGGTAATGGTAGGGGCGAAATAGACCCCGTAACCGGTTGAAAGAGACCGAAGGGGTAGGCCAACACCCAGATATGCTAGGCGGTTACCGGTTGAAAGAGAACGAAGGGGTAGGCCAGCACCCTGATATGCTAGGCAGTACCGGTTGAAAGAGACCAAAGGGGTAGGCCATCACCCGGATATGCTAGACAGTATGTTTATTGTATGGTATGTGGTATGATGGGGGAACTCACTAAGCTTCGTGTTTATGGTTTTCAGTTTTGATTTCAGGTACTTCTTATTCGAAAGGAAAGGAGTCGGCATGATCGCAGCGCATCACACCATGATTTCCGCACATGAGATCTTTGGGAGTTATACTCTGATGCTGTTTTATTATGACATGTTTTGATTATTGACATACTGGTTTTGATATGGGATGACACTATGAATGATTTCAGACTATTGGTTTTATAATTGCTTAATTAAAAATGAAATTTTTGGTCTTGAATTTTGGTATGTTACAGTTTGAGCTTGATTTTTTTTTCATTATGTTCTATGTAGCAAGGACTATCCATAGACATCTCACACTCTAGTTTTGGAGGTCATAAAATCGTATTTTTTAAGCTCATAAGTAGGATGGTTGTGTTATTTTTTTAATTTTCGAAATTAAAGTAGATAACACTTATTTCATTACCTTAATTGTCATTCAAGGTTAACTTTTCATTATCAGTGGATGTGTGTTATCCGATGGTTGTTATCAGGTAATGTATGAATTATTATTATTATTATTATTATTATTATTATTATTATTTTTGAAATAGGAAAGAGAAAAACAAAATGTATGAAAGTTGAATGGTAGTTAGGTTAAAGAACATAAGATGAAGACAAACACCAGAACACCCACAAAGTGCATCTCACAATGACACACACAACTATGTATAAGAGGAACGGAGAGAGTTTAAAGTCGTTGACAAGCAACAGGGGGTACGTAGTACACCTTTCCATTCTTAGAAATTCACAACTGTATTTTTTATAATAAAAATGTGTTATTTTTATAAATGATTTCTCTAATAACAGAATACATTATTTTAGGGTAGTATTTAGAAAAATCTAAATATTTTGGTTATTGGTTTAAAATACAACAATCTTTATAATCTTTTTTTCGTTAATTCGGTTAACATATGGAGACTTTTCTGAAGATTGTTGTTTTTTTAACCAATAACAAAAATATTGAAATTTTTCTGAATATTTAACCGATATTCTGTCATTTTTTGTAAAAAAAAAATAATAATTATAAACTAAACCAAAATATTAAAACTTTATCGGAGTTCTCTATAATTTATTAATAATTTTTTAATTGGTTTTTGTTAGGTCGATCTGAAAACGAATCGGGCCAAGTTTTTTTGGGTTCAAACTCAGTCTTAGCCGACCATAGTATATAGAATGATGAACATTTGAGTCAAATTTGAAATTTAGCAATATACTTACAATGTAGAAATTAGCAGAACATGTGTCGGTGGGTGCAATCTTGTTCCAAACACAACCATTTGAGAAACGCAACAAAGGAACCACACAAAACAAATTTTAGTTAATTTCACACAAATCAATGAAATAAACAAGTAAAATTTTCATAAAAATCCCTAAAGTTTAACCCTATTAATAGAAAAATCATCCATAATTTTTTACATAGATACTAATAAATGTTTGCAAAATGGCCTATGTACCCAATACAATGCTAAATTAATGTTGTAATTCATACGCTTCAATAGTTCACTTTAGAACTAATTGTATAAAAGAATTATATTTTCATATATTTTTTTTGTTTAAACCTAAAAAGAATCATTTCATTAAAATGTTTACGTTCTTTTCATTTTTCCAATTCAACTCTTTTATAAGTTATATCGGCAACCTTCCGGTTTTACACAATTTTTCGAAAAGAACCCTCAACTTTTTTTTTCCAAAAAGAATCATCACATTTGACAACCTTTTTCGTTAATACCAAATTTTCCATTTTGGCTAACGATTTCGGTTTCACCAAAATTTTTGTTATGGTGCTTACCGGAAGTGACGTTGTGTCTAATTCTATTTGGAAAAATGAGTATCAATATTAATTTGTAAGGTCCTTCAAAATAGTATAATTTAAAGAACAATAATCTAGGTTGACTGGATACATTAGATTATTTTCGTTATCAAACATAAAAATAATTTCAAAACTCCAATCTATGTTTGGAATTTAGTATATGTTTTCACGTTTTCTTCATTAAAAATATTATCAATTTCAAAATTATTTGATCTATAGTAAAATCATTAGATTCATTTTGAGACTCATTTTCCCAATAATATTCATATCAATAATAGTATAATTCATTTTTTTTAAGTATTACATTATTATCCAATTTCAAGTTTATACACACATAACCTTCGGTTAGCAAATGCAAAACCTTCGGTCTCCAAATTAGGATGCACATAACATGTTCATAATTTCGAGATTGAAGGTTTTGCGTTTGGTAAATGATTAAATGAAACCCCACACCGAATTTAAAAATGAATAATAATGCAATGCCTGAAAATTTATCGAGTTTGTTATTATTGACATGACTATTAATATGGAAAATGGGTTTCATTATAACTTAATGAAATTATTATGGATCAACTCACATTTGAGAATGAAAATATATATGAAAATAACAAAAAAAAATTATATTCCAAAATAGATTGAAGTTTTGATTTTTTCTGAATGATTTATGTAATTAGATGTCAAACCATCATAGATCAATGATTTTCACTACTACTATATTCATCATTCAAATATATTTTGATATGTATTTTCCATCAACAATTACATACAACATCTTTTTCTCTTTGTTTTTAGAAAAATCAATGTTTACTTCAGTTTTAATGTTGAAGACCCTCGATAACACAATATATATTAATAACAAAAAAACATAGAAATTTGGAGCAAGAATGGAAAAGTCGATACAAAAAAATATTTTCAACGTGATAGTTTTTTCAAAAAAAAAAAGAAAAAAAAGTGGAAAGTGGTTTTCAAAAACACATTTAAAACCAAAATAATACAAAAACCTGATAAAAAATTCAAATTAAATAAAAAGTAAAATAACGAAGGAGTTTTTTGTTATTAAAGGGCTTATAGTCTAGAGGTATTAAGAGTTGACGAAAACGTGTCTCTCAGCCAACCCAGAGGTGGAGGGTTAAAGTCTGGAGACAAAATATATAGATTTAGAAGTATGATAATGGATGTGTGTGTTAGTCGTTCTGAAAAAAAAAATTAAATAATAAAAAAATAAACATACAAAATTCGAAAATATAAGATTTTTATACAATTAATACTTTAGTTTATTTATTATTGATTTAGAATTCTGATAACTTTTTTTTAAATAGTTTTAGTTTTATAATTAATTTATTAACTTATAATTAATCACTTGCATTACTTGATTTCGTTGGTATAATATCCATTTTTAAATTTTAAAGTGTAATTGAAATTATGACTACTATAAGTAAACTTTTTGGGTCAAAAGAAAATTAAAATAAAGGAAATGTATCAAATTTTGAACATTATATTTAACAATTAAATGAGTTTTTCTTCCAAATCAAAACGTACAAGAATTCAAATATATTTAGACGAACTTACAATTTATATAAAGCAACCAATTAAGTTTGTAATGTAACTAGCGAATAGTTTTCAAGCTTTGATATTTTAAAATGATGGCAAAAAAGGAAAAACTCTTATCAATACAAAGTCTTAGCCACAACAAATATTGATTTACTAATCCAAGCTAGTACCTACATCTAGAATGTTGTTTCTCTTAGTGACATAATATTAATTGCAATACGTTGTAAGTTGACACATTAATCGGACCAAATATTCATTTAAAACTGATTTTGTGCATCTCTACAATGTATACAGTTCGACACTTGCCAAACACCTTTGATGTTTGTTAAAGATAATCTCTAATCTCACTCCAAGTCTCATTTTTGGTAACATTTTGGTGTAAATTTCTCTCCAACCACAATCCATCTCTTGTACCATTTTGATGTAAATAGATACTATAACACCAAAGTTGGTGTTATAATACAACTTCAATCAATGGCATCTATTCTTTAATCAACAAAACCCACAATATCTAAACTCTGTTCTCCCATATAATTCAACAAGACAAAGCTTTCCATCAGAAAAATAGAAGTATCCATATCATTTTGCCAACTAAACTATCCTTTAGGGATATCTAGGTAAATAGACAACAATACAACATACTGCATTACGAATCATGAACACTAAAAGTGGCAGTTTCAACTAATACGAGTCAAATATAAAATCAAATGTGCACAAGACTATCTTCATAACTATGCACTTAAAAGAAAATAAACTCCAGCTACAATTATGGCTGTGTATGTTTGTTTTCATATGCAAAAGATTAAGAAATGATATACTAAGTAATTGGTAGTATATAAAGAATACAATGGTGAATGAGTAGTTTGAAGCAAAAGCAAGAACAGTAGCAGTCTGCTTGTTTCTGAAAGCTCATGTGAAGATGCTACTTACAGAGGTATCATCATGAACACGCCAAATAGTCTCACCCAAAAGATTTGCCACTGAAAGAACAGTCAGCTGTGGGAAATAATGTTGTTCCTTTAAAGGAATTGTGTTTGTTACAATCACTTCTTGAAAAAGTCCACTTGACAACCTCTCAATCGCAGGGGGGCTGTAAAAATAAAAGTTTTAAATGGATAAATTGCGTTAGTGTTGTATACACAGTCACATAATTTTACCTGAATACACCATGAGTGCAACATGCATAGACTTCCCTGGCTCCCTCTTCATGTAATAAAGCTGCACCTTTAGAAATAGTTCCTGAAAATAACACAATATTTTTTTTTTAATTTCGATACAATACAAGTGGTTCACATCTTGAATGACTCACCAGCAGTGTCGATCATGTCATCCAACATCACAGCAACTTTTCCTTTCACATCACCAATTAAATTCATCACCTAAAAATGTGTTACATTTTTTTTTGTAAACGAATCTGAGCGACACATAGCTTAATCAAACATAACAGCAAGGCCACTCTGCGACTTACAATGCCACAAAGGAAAGAGAAAGACAAAAGAAAGGTACCTCAGCTACATTGTGTCCATGGCGCCTTTTGTCAACAATTGCCAAAGGCGCATCAGATAACTTTTTGGCAAAAGCACGTGCCCTAGCAACTCCACCAACATCAGGCGACACAACTACCAAATCATTTGAGCAAATCGACTTGCTGGCAAGATAATCAAGAATCACAGGCTACAACATAATAACAGATAAACTATCAGAAAAAATAAATAAATAAATAAATAAAATTGAAATACTTACCTGACAGTAAACATGATCCACTGGGATATCAAAATAGCCCATGGACTGCCCAGAATGAAGATCACAAGCAAGAACACGATCTGCACCTGCTTCAGTGATCAGGTTTGCTACTAGTTTTGCAGCAATAGATTCACGCCCTTGAGTCTGATGAAATAAATATGAGAAAAATTAATTTTTTAAAGGTTAATTTACTAACTTTAAATGAAATTTAGGTTTACCTTTCTATCTGCTCTGGCGTATCCAAAATAAGGGATGACAGCTGTGATGTTCTTGGCTGATGCTCTTCTACATGCATCTATTGTAACTAAAAGCTCCATGAGATTTTCATTTGCAGGAGGGCTGGTAGGTTGCACCAGATACACATCACACCCACGTACACTCTCTTGTAACTGAACATATATTTCACCATCTGCAAATCGCTTTATCTGAATCATTCCAAGATCAAGTCCCATGTAACTTGCAATTTCCTGAAAACCAATACAAAATTATTTTAGCCATGATCTATAGATATAAGGAATGCCATCACATTTTACATAATGTTACAAGCAACATTTTGAGTTGCCATGATATGAAGTTGAAGAAGTTATCATATGTTTTTAAAATGAATAAAGGAGTATTATACCTGAGAAAGTGCAGAATTTGCAGTACCAGAGAATATTTTAAGCTTCCCATTCATAACAGCATGATTCATGCGCCCAGCTTCCATGAAGTTGGACAGCATTCCATCTTTGATAATTGGTACACATGGTTTCCCATTTAATGATTTACTAATTTCACACCTCTAAAAAAAACAACCAACCACAATCAATCTTTGAACTTTTTAAACTAGAAAGTTAGCAACTGAACTTTTATCTTAGAAGTACAACCAGCTGGTTCTTTGATATAAACTTGTTAACCTAACATTTTATAAATATTTCCTAGCATATATTGTCAACCCTCAACCCTTGTTTTAGTTACCATTTTCCATGAAATATTTACAATCTATATCACCTTTAAAGTTGAAAAGTAGCATGCTTAATCTCCTTAGATTGGAATAGAACAAATCAACAAACAATTTCAAATATAGTATGCATACAAGCCATGTCCTAAAGAGTGCATTTGGCCCTTCAGATGTATGTTTCTGCTAAAACATAATTACTACATGCCCACACCAGTAATTATACCAAGTTCCGTTTAATAGTAGGCAGGGAGAAGGGGGATTTAAGCACATAACCTCCATGATACCACCATAAATACTCAATGGCATAAGTATAAAGAATTTCAGTCTCTAAATAAAAACATATTGAGTTATTGACTTTAAACTCATTATATTATCTCAGTAAGACAAGCATAGCAACTTACATTACGTTTAAGTAACTTAACAGTATGTATGTAGACTACTTCAATATGTATATTCAAAGACAACTGTTACTTCCAAAATTGGTGAAATCAAGCAAAACAAGAAGTCAAACAGGACTCCTGTGTTCTAGTCACTGAAGCATAACAATAGTTTAGGTACTAAAATCAAAATACCAGATACATTCATTTATTTAGACTCAGACCTTCGAAATAGAACCTACGGGATAGATGTTAGATGGACAAAACGAATTGGATTTAACATCCAGATTGCCTCGGGTATTCAAAATGATGTATCTGATATGAGAATCGGTTAAAAATGTTGAGCGAAAGATAAAAATTGTTCCAAACAACTGTGAGTTCCGTTAATCATTTGGAAAATTCAAAAGTATCCAACCTAATAGAGGAAAAAGGAGCAACGCAATAACAAAAATACAAAAATCAATTACACTACGAAACGCACAACATTATAATCGACAGAAACAAAAACATTCCTATCTTGCAATATCTCAACCATTTATTCATAGAATATAGGACTTAAAGCAAATATATACACAAGCAACTTACGATGTTGTTAGCAGAAGCGGGAATACGAGCCTCGCTGTTAATGAAACCACGGCTGAAAGAGTGCCGAGAAAACGGCGATGAAGAAGAAGAAGTAGAGCATGATGATGGAGATGGCAACATTAGAGATGCCATTGGAACTAAGATTAGGGTTTATCTCAGCACTTTATGAGCTTTTTCCAGAAATGCAAATTGAATGGCGCCTCTTCGTTCCTTCTGTATCTATATGTAGGTATCAGTGGCAGGTGGCACACACGCAACGACACCTTTTGTTTACCAAAAGGCCCTGAATAGAGCTGCTCAATTTCAACGAACCAAAAGCTATCAAATGGTTTTAGATTTGCATTTAAACGAATTATAAATATTAATTGTGATTTCATTTTTATCATACAAAATTAAAACAAATAGAGATGGGAAAACATAAAAGAATTCAGATAAAAAAAAAGATGTAAACTGGCTTCAATCTTATTAAAAAATACTATAAAAACAATCAGATGAACAATGTGAGTAATTGTATGTAGTTTTAACTCTGTGATCATCCAAATATTCAAATATTATAATTTTTTTTTAACCGGCAAATACAAATATTATAATCTACTCCTAAACTAACACATAATTTCACCTATGTATAATTTTATCGGGTTAATGTCATAAAAACCCTCAAGTTTACAGGGTTTGTCGGTTTTGCCCAAAGTTGAAATTTATGTCCGTTTTTACCCAAACATTTTCGAAAAAATGTTCGATTTTACCCTTTTACCGGTGATAACAGGTTTTCCAGGTTACCATTATATTAAATTCACAAAAAAATCTTTAAGTTTACCATTTTTTTGCGTTTTTACCCTTAAGTTTATAATTTTTTTTACACTTTTACCCTAAGTATATTTTTTTCATAATATACATATTTATGCAGAAAAATCGTACTTATATACAAAAAAATATTTAATTAAATATTGTATTTATATTTTTTTAATGTTATATATATATATATATATATATATATATATATATATATTTGTTTGTGTGTGTTTGTGTTTTTGCATGGTTATACCATTTAAAAAGATAAATAATATTTTTAGAATTATGAATATGTGTTTTATAGATATAGTTTTTAGAAGTATAAATTCATATTTTTACATTTTTATATATTAATATGTATCTATACTTCTAAAAATATATTTATACTTTAAAAAACACATATATCAAAATACATATTTACACTTCTAAAAATATATGTATATACTTATATAAACATGTTTTCAGGGTTTTGTCGATTTTGCCCAAAGTTGAATTTTATGTCCGTTTTCACCCTAACATTTTCCAATGAAACTACATTGTTTTTTTTTTTTTTAATTTAAGAATTATTATCATCATAATCTATCTATATATCTATCTATATCTAAATATCTATATCTACCTATATCTATCTATCTATCTATCTATCTATCTATCTATCTATATCTATATCTATATCTATCTATATATCTATATCTATATCTATATCTATATCTATCTATCTATCTATCTATCTTAGAAAGCTAGTATTTTTCCTTGAACCTCATACATTTGCAACTCTCAAAACTATATAAAATCATTTTTGCTCACACCACATTCATTTGAAACCTCCATTTTTTAACTAATACAACTCAAAAGTCTTCTTAATAATGATTTACCACTCAAAGGTTTTATAACCTATATTATGATTAATAAGCACTTAATGAAACGTTTACTATAAAATGATCAATCTTTTGGGTAGACATGCATACAAATCACATACAAACTTCATAAAGAAACAAGCTTAAAGGTTTTTTTTATTAGTTTGAGGTCTTATTACCACTTTTCGAGATATATTATTATGTTATAGCTTTTAAATTGTAAGTTTGTTATATACTAATTTTTTATATATTTTTATTGGTTTTGGATTCTTTTAATACAATTGTTGTATGTTGTGCTTTAATCGTTAATATATATTAGACCAGATAGATGTTATCGATCATATGTTATATACTGTGATGTAGATAATATTTAATTAGATATGTTAAATATTATCGTTTGTTTTGTACTGCTTCAAAAAAGTAACTAAGTAAAAGTTGTGAATATTTTAAATTTTCCATGTAAATCTGAAAGATATATTTTTCTTTTTACCGCATGTATTTGAAATTCTCATTACTTTTCAATTTCTTTATAATAATCATTATATATTGGTTAATAATGTTAAATAGGTGTAAAACGCTAATTGTAATACTAAAATTAACTAAATTTGAATATTAAATTAACATATTTTACTTATACTTAGTTTTGATATGTTATTTCTTAAATTGTCAGTTTAAAGTCATAACTTTTGAATAATTTGTATAAAATACTTAAATTGTTAATTTAAATACAGTGTTAAAGTACTAACTTAAATGAAATTTTCAATTAAACTTAATGAAAATCCAATGACTATTTTGTAAATAGTTATAAGTTATAAATTATAGTGTTAAATGTAAAAACTAAATTGTAATCTCAAATCAATTAAAATATTTCCTAAAACTATTTTTATAAACATTAATAATTTCTAAATAAGTATCTTACAAATAACTTATAACGATAATAGTTGAAAATAATATTGTAACTTATAAAAATAAAAACAATGTTTGATGTTTTAAATAACTACAGTAATAAAAATTAAAAAGTTAATCAAATGTAGTTTTTAAAATGACGATTAAGCTTATATAGTTTTAATAGATTTAATATCATCATATAATTCAAAATAATTAATATTTTACACTAAATTAGTATAAGAATTATTATATCAAAGTTAACTATAATATTTTTATATTTAAACAACATATATTTTAAATTTATAATTGTATTTTGCGCAACGCGCGAGTATTCGCCTAGTAAATATATAAAGATGTTACTTTACATTTTTAATTATATAAATCTAATTGCCCACTTGAAAGAGAAAATGCGAACTTGTCAACTTGGGGATGAGATATGTTTGTCGATACAATTTGTGTGGGGACTTTTAATTTGTCTTTTACCAACGTTATGCTTTTCCTAAAGCAGATAATGGACATTTTTTTTTGTTAATATTATAGTTTCTTTGTGATAGGTTACTTCAAATATAAATATGAACATATATTTTCTTTTTGCAGCATGTCAACATTTGGTATAGAAAAGCAATACTAAATTATTTACGAAAGGTATTAGTTAAAAATTATCAAAATACAATAATTTTTTTAGACATTTGCAAATATATTTGGCGCATTTTCACCAATATACTTGAAACAGTTCAATACGATGATAGTTCCTTGAACTTTTAGTTTTATATACATTTTATGTTATAAATGATTTAATATGTTCGTGTAAAATAAGAATATTGATTATTGGGATAATGAGGGTAATATATTATTTGATTTGTACACATTTAGTCACTGACCTTTTTTTCGTTTATATTTGCCCCTTTAACTTGTTAAACTGTACATATTTAGTCCTTATGACCGGCTACTCCAGGTTAGCCGGTAAAAATGACTTAATAGGGTAATATATTTATCACTTTGTACACATTTAATCCTTAATATTTTTGTACACATTTAGTCCTTAATATTTTTTTTGTTGCAAAATAAGTCATTTTTGTTTTTGTACTCATTCAGTACTAATGAATAATTTCTTTAGGTTTTTCTCGCGACATCTTATATGGGATAGTCATATGGTGGTGGGATAGGTTGAGGTGGTCTTGTTATAAGCTGTAGGCTAAGATACCTGGTGCAGGCCGGCTGTAAGCCGTAGGCACGGAAGCTCGAGAAGAGCGGTTGGGTTAAGGCGGCATGCTGACAAACCCTGGGTATTCCATCCCGATGACTGATTGGACCTATTGCATGTTGGCATTCCAGTCCGATGACTGATTAGGCTAAGGTATTTTAATCTGATGAGTGTGGACCCGTTATGCATTATAATATGTTTGTTGTATCGGGTATTTTGGGGGAAACTCACTAAACTTTGTACTTACCCGGTTGTTTATGTTTTTAGCTTCTATCATTGATCGTGGGAAGGAGAAGACATGATTATACACACTCATCAACAGTATTGAGGATTCCGCGTTTCTTATATTACTCATCAACAACCTCACACACTTCATCAATGATTGTCCCACATGTATATGTACTGAAAGAGTACGAAAACAAAAATCATTTATTTTGAAATAAAAAATATTAATGACTAAATGTGTACAAAATGAGAAATATATTACCCTATTAATTCATTTTTCCCGGCTAACCTGGAGTAACCGGTTATAATGACTGAGTGTGTACAGTTTAACAAGTTAAATGTGTAAATGTGGACGAAAAAAAAACTCAGTGACCAAATGTGTACAAATCGAAAAATATATTACCTTTTTAAGTCATTAAGAAGTTCAAATTGTTTTATTAAACGGACAAAACAACTTTTTTTTTGAAATTACGTAACTATATATGTACGAAATAAATAATAATGAGTTCAATGAAAAAACATTGAAAAATATATTACTATTATATATCTTATCCATTTATTTCAATAAAAAGTTTGATATAAATTTAAAGGAATATGTCACAAAAAGCATTATGAATCTATGTTTTTTTTAATAGCAAAAATGAATCTATCTTTTTTATTTAAAAAGTTATTGTTTTGTTTATAATTTCGGAAAAACTCTTTATGTTTCGTGATTTGGACTATTTAACATGAAATGTCAAGAAATAATTTTATGCTTGAAATTAAATGTAATTTTTTTCGTGAACTAGTTTCGGACCGATTTAGTTTGATTATCAAGTAAATATAATTACCAAAGGGTTTCTAGCTCATCGGTATCTGGTGTTGCCCTTCTTCTTTGAGGTTGAGAGTTCAAGTCCCGTCGTGAACATAGATGGATTTAAGATGTAGTTTAGGAGTATGTTAGATTTATCGTTTCATAAAAAAATAAATATAATTATTTATAGCCGAATATACTTTAATTATAATAAACTCTTTATGTTTCATAAAGTTAGCGATTTGGATTATTTTAACATGAAATATCAAGAAATAATTTTATGCTTGAAATTAGTTAAATTTTTTTTTATGAACTAGTTTCGGACGACTTGGTTTAATTATCAAGTAAATATAATTATTTATAGCCATTTAAAAAGAAATTTAATTTACTTATAATAAACTCTTTATGTTTCATAAAGTTAGTCATTTGGACTATTTTAACATGAAATATCAAGAAATAATTTTACGCTTGAAATTAAATGTAATTTTTTTTCGTGAACTAGTTATTTACTTTGATTATCAAGTAAATATAATTATTTATAACCGTTAAAAAATAAATATAATTTACTTGTAATAAACACATGCTAAAATAATGGTTCTACTCATTAAAAAGTTATCGAACTCTCATCAACAAACAAACCCTTCAGATTAATAAACGAATCTAAATTACAGAATTTTAAAAATTACAATGGCTAAACTATAAGATTTTCAAAATGTCAATAACTTTAAAATAAAATGGCTTTTTGAATAAAAACTAAATTATTTTTGTGAAATGGAAAAAAAAACATATGTTTATTCTTACACAACATTTTTTTAGAGAATTACTAATCTAGTAATTTTCCTTAATTACCTATCCAAAAATTAGCAATTTTCCAAAAATAGCCCACGAAACCGTAAGTAATTAAAGTGGGCTACTGTTTCGACAAATGGTCTACTGTTTCGGGTAACTATAAAAAAAAAATTAATTTCGAAATCTAAAACCGTAGGTTATTTTATAACCTATGGTTTTCTCTCCACGTTCTACGGTTTCCCAAACCGCGTAGTCTACGGTTTCGGTAAAAAAGTCTACGATTTCGGTAATTTTTTTTTTTTGTTTTTCGAAAAAAATCAAGGAATCATAACATATATATATATATATATATATATATATATATAGGTTACAACCATTTTTTTTAAAACGAAAAAAATGAAAACCGTAGGCTTCATAAGAAGCCTAAAGTTTTACTATTTTTTTCGGTTTTTTTTTTAAGTTGTCCCTATGTACAAAACAACTCCTAATCAAGAATACGGTAAAATTTCGATAAAAAAATAGACGTATCTCGTTGTTCTTCGGGTGCTACATTGAGAGAAAACAGTAGAGAAATCAAGAAAAAAGTAGTAAAAATGACCTAATCTGAAAATCAATACATTATATATACTATGGGCCAATGAGACCCGAAAGAGTAAACGGGCCGGGAAACAGTAACTCATTGCTCTAAAACCGTAGACTTCACCTCGTTGACGGTAGTCAACGCTAGCCATCTAGGCTAAAGTTTTTATTTTTTGGCTATTTTTTGATACATAATTAGGGAAAATAGCTAGATTAGTAATTCCTTTTTTTTCTAAATACAATATAATTGTGTTTTAAAATTTAAAATATTGTATTGTATAACTTTATAAAACAATATTATGTATGGAAAAAAATATATTACACACGAATCACTTCATTTAATTACTTCATTTACTAATAGACTGCCATTATATTTAGAGATAATTCATTCATAAGAATATCACAAGGAAGTAGCCAAGTTGGCTCAGGATGTTACCCAAATTAGAAGAACTATATGACATTCCATTAGAGCATTATACCATTACCAACTCTATCTTAATTTTGTCACGTCTTATACTAATGATATGTCAATATTTTTTTTATAGGTGGACCCTACTAACGTATTTTCAGTTAATTTATATATATTTATAATTATTTTAAAATTAAATAAACAATTCAAATATTAATATAAACATATTATTTTGTTAATTGTTATTTACTTGAGAAAATACATAATCAAATATATAACCTAATAACAAAATTATAATTTTTAATGTACTAAAATAAAAAGAAGTAAAATTAATCAGAAAAGGTACATAAACTGATTATAAACCAAAACAAAAATACCAAGGTCATGTAATATAAAAATATACTAATAAAATAATATATATTGAATTAATTTACCAAATAAATACAATAATATGTCAATAAATTACAAATAATTAATCACATAGGTATATAGAATAATATAGATTTAAATAAAGTAAATTGTTATATATCTCTTCAACAGGTTTTGCAAATGCTGAAAAGAAACTTTTTTGATAATTGCTTTTCTAAAATTTAATTTCAAATTGTCATATTATTTATTGTTATTATTGTTAAGTAATTTTGACATCATGGATCAACAACTGTTAGCCATATTTCATGAGTCGACATTCAATTGCTTCCAACCAAGCAATTTTAGAAAGTGTTAAATATTTCACACAACAAAGCGATCTTATGTGACTTACAAAAAGATATATGAATAACATTAAAGTTCATTGTGCATTTGGATTTCTATTCCACGACAAATATGTTGGGTCTCCAAGAGGCCTCGGTTTAAAAACATATAAAAATATGAAATTAATCGCCATAAATAAACAAATCCCACCAATCGTAAGAAACGCTATACCAAAGAAATCGTTTTTCCCACCAATCCAACTCGCAGTCGAAAGTATAATCTTCTTTTCTCCTCCAAAATCATACGTATTGTAGTTATTCTGTATCACAACCGTTATCGTCTCATTTGCCTCCAAATCCATGTTTATTTTCCCGTAAAGCTTTCTGAAATTAGGCAACGCCGCAGTCCTCATCCACACAATTAGATCTTCTTGCTCGCTCAACTACAACATATAAGTTTAAAAAAATAAACTAGAATATTCAAGAAATCGTCAAACATAAATTATATATATAAAAAAAAAAGGATCATATTTGTACGGGTTTTGATTCGTCTAGTACTCCACCCCCAATCAACTCTCCCTTTTGAAAGTTTTTCGGGTACACGTTCGACCCGAATTTAACCCGTGTATCACTTTTCCACGCGATGTCCTTTTTATCGATATCTACAACTTTGTTCGCTTTTGAGAATGTGTACGTATCATTAAACAAACTCCACGCGACCAATCCACAAGGAACAATAGGCGCATCATTGTCCCCGCCTACTATGTCTTCTGGCATACAATCTTTCGTTTCCTCTGCAGCTCCAGGGTCCCGCAATTGTTTGTCACTTCTACTTTTCACATATCTAAAAAAACCCAAATTTCAATAAATATGTATCTCTGATACATATTTGATATGTATTTGATATGTAGTATCAGGTATAATGTGTACATTGTACCTAGTACTGTTTTCACATAGTATACCTGATACTATGTAATCATGGAAATAGAAACTGAATGATAACATACCGACGATGGTTTTGGTAAAAGTTATCGAGTTCGTAGTAAATAAAGATAGGTGCGGTCATTTTTCGTGGCACTTTCAATGTGCGGATACATGTTTTGTTTGATTTGTTGTTTTGAATAAATGAATCTGGATTTGTGCGGAATGAATCCGGGAGACAATCATCGTCATAACGATCCACGATTTCTACAACGCGTTCGGATGCTGATAAGCATAGAAGGCCGGTGGGGATGAACATGATGGCAACGGTTACAAATGACGCAATTACCCATCCCGGAGTTAAGATTGGTTTCCATGCAGGAAGCTCTTGTTGTGTGAATCTTGAATATCTTGGTTTCTTGGAAATTGCTTTTGGTCTTGTGGGTTCATGTTCATCCATTTTTGTTCTTGGAGGAAAATTTCAAGAGACTACAATCACATGTTCATTTATGTTTTTTCTATTTTTTAGGGACGTTAAGATCCTACATTAGGGGGGAAGAAATTAGAAATTTTCTTTGGGAGTATTTTTATAGGGGCACAATTGTCATTTTAAGCTATAAGGTCTTCCGAAGATTATATTCTACCCATACAACTGAACTCAGAAATCGAAATCAATATGCCATCAATAAGAATGAAAAAACTATAAAGATTCAATCATTATTCATTCACATATCGTATGATATAGTAGCCAAGAAAGATATAGAACTCCTATAAACATAAAAAGAACCGAATAGCAATGCTCAATTCTCATAAATCATAATATATAGTTATATACAATCAAAGACATATTTTTCAAACCTCATGAAGATGATGCAGCCTTAATTGCTCTCTGCAATTCACTCTCCACATCTACCGAAGTCAAATTCTTCTTAGTTTCTCTCTGTCCATTAGCCTCACCACTGCCGCCACTCTTCTTCATCCTCCACTGCTCAAACCCATCAGAATTTTCAACCACCGGCACTGGCCTCTTTCCTCCACCACCACCACCTGCAGCAGCAGCGTATCCATTGTAATTCCTCATTGACTGCAGTGATTTCATGTCCTCCAATGTGTGTCTCATCTCTCTATTCTCCTTCTGTAAATCATTCAATTCTCTGCTCATCCAAGAATACATGCCCTTCAACATCTCAAACTCACCGGAATCACCCTGAATTCCCTGCTTCTGATTCCCTTTCTCTTCCACTACCTCATCAATTCTCTCAACTTTAATTTTGTTCACCCTCAAATACGGCAATTGCTTCTCGTAATCAGATGGGATATTCACGCCCCACCGTAAATTTACCTTGACCCGTTTAGTCACTGGCAACTCGGTATCGGCCGACATCAAAATCCCCGACAAGATCGAGTCTTTTGTGGCTGATTCCACTGTTAGTTCCTTCCAATTGATAGGCCGATCCAATGGCACAAATCCATATGAATTCTCACTACCAGCGGTACTCTCACCATTGGGCTTCTTACTAGGGTTTGAGACAGTGGAGGATACTGATTTACGGAGAGAGAATGATCCTAATCGGGGTTTGAATTGGATGGAGAAAGTAGGGTTAGGGTTAGAGTTTTGAGGTGAGAAAGAGAAATTGGCGGAGATTATGAGAGGGGAATTGTTGGGGGAACCTGAAAGGCTTACCCCTGATTTGAAAGTGAGCGTGAGAGGTGCGGTGGTAGCTGCGGCCGCGGTGGCGGTGGTGGTGGTGGGGGTGTTGTAGGAGAGCTTGAGTGAGGGACCGGATGGAAAGTGGGTACGGAGGGAGAGGGAGAGCTTGTCGGAGGCGGCGGCGGCGTGATGGTGAGTGGCGGAGAAGGCGGAGAGGAAAGGAAGACCGAAAACAGTGATGGGAATTTTAGCTCTGACGAGGATTGGGTTTTGATTTTGTTGTTGATCTTCGAGTTTCAGAGATAACTTCATGATTCGTCGTTAAGAAATGAAAGACCGCGCCGTTTTTTGGAAGATGTTTAAGAAATTCTAGCACTTTTTCGTTGATCGGAAAGAAAGCAGTGACTGTGGTTGAGCATCTGAAGATGGAGAAAACTTTGTTGCCTCTTTTTGAGCCCGTTAGAAGACACTCAAAAAGTATTAGCTAAATTATCTAAAAATAAAAGGGTAAATAAAATAAAAAACTTTTTTACATTAAAGATAAATAAATTAATATAATTAAAATATGATTATAATTTAATAAATAGACAAAATTGTTGTGTTTGCATCTTTACCGTACAACCCTTGTGAAATTTGTAAAAAACAATTATTTTTAGCATATTTCTTTATGGATTTATATAAACGGAATCAACCATATCAAATGGTAAAACCTAGGGGCTAGGGCTGTGCATGGTCGGTTTTGGACCCAAACCCAACCCAACCTATATTTCATTCCTTAAAAAAATAAAATTCACATAACACTCTGTAATGTTTCATGATTAATATTTATGATAGAAATGATCCCTTAAATAAATGTTATTATGGATGCGCGAACCACCTTCTTCTACCTGGTGAGTAGTTATATTTTGTTTGTTAATGTCGAACAAAATAGTAAACGGTGTATGTCATAACAAGAGTCAAGAGGGGTTCATGGGAAAAATATTGGTTTGCAAAAGATATTGATTCAATATCGTTTATCGTAGTTTTCAATTTCAATCTTATTTTTTTACGTTTAGTGTTTGCCATCTCATGAGTACTTCATTCTCGTTGCTTTATTGTTTGTTCCTTGTTATAATCTAGTTTTTTGTTGTTGTTGGTTTTGTTATGGTATTCGTGCATTTGCTTGATTTTTGACGTTATAGATTCAAAAGATGAATATCTTCATTCTATTAGTATTCAGCTTCTATCAGCTCCAACTTCTATGCAAATCTGTTATCCTGCTAAAAGAATTATAAAACTATAAATAAACATAAATTATACATATAAACGAAAATATTAAAACATATAGGTAACCATACGTCGACGATTGTTATAAACTGGTTCAGTGAGTCTTTTGTAAATGCGTCAGTCTCAACCATGTAACAGCCCGAGGGATCACATTCTCTTGTCGGGTACCAAACAAACTGCTCACATGAAAAGTTTCAAGAATCCATATATCAAAAAAATCATTTATTAGAATGTTAGCAAACAAAAAAAATATTAATCATGTAATTACCTTGGAACCGTATAAAAACCCGTTTAGGGTGTAGGTCATTTTTCGAGGTTATTTCTCTTTCGGTTCCACTGGATGTATATGTTTGTCGACCTTATTGAATACATTAATTAGTCGTGAGTACAGTTGATCAAAAATTACCCCCCACCCCCACTGGATATCTACGACATCAAATATTTTGAATTAAATTTCTAAAAAATATTACTAATGATAATTAAACTTGATTATAATCCGCAATAAATTAACTACAAGAAACCTGTTGAATTCATCAAAGTTTGATATCAAAGCCAAATACTCCTTTATAACATATTGTTTAGCCAACCGCCCATTGAACACCTTCTCTAATAGATATAAGACATGAATCACATCCTCGTCTGATAAGTCATTAAGTGAATGCTCGGACACATTCTTCACATCGTCTAATTTGACGACAACATTCCTCGCGACCATAAGAAACACACGGGAACGGGAGGCGGCAGCGGAACCGGACACAAGAAAATAATCTCCAAAATGGAAGTCGATGACAAGACAAAATTATTTTTTCCAGAAAGACAACTCAACCCCCAATCTCAAAAACCATTTTCTTTGCTTCGCTTCGAGGGTCCGTGATAACTTCGTGGCAAAAGACATAATGTAGAAGCAAATGATCCACATCTACATTGTGAATTTCAAACCACCTCCTAAAACATGAATTTCAGAACATAGTCTCGCATGTCGGTCTGTCTCTCACTGCTACAAGAATTTGCCTATCGATTTTGGGTTTTTAGGATAGTGTAATGGATGCATTAAAAACCTTGTCGTGCTGCAGAAATAAAAAAGTTGTTATAACCCAACTCTGGAACGAAAACTAACCAATATTTCATACTAGTTCGTCGTGTTCCGGACCAGTTTTTCACATTTCGGAGCGTTCCATAATGAAATTTTATGTTTCGGAACACTACATTTCGATGTAAACTAACATTATCTAAAAATATAAACTACTTTTGGGTTGGTCCTACTGCAATGACTTCTTTAATTAAAAACTCCGGAACGTTTTCAGTTCATGCCGAAGGTGTTCTACACATTCCAAAACAGTAGTTCTCGATGAATAATCACGTTATACAAACAAGCAAACTAGGTTTTTTGAGTGAAGAACTTACCCATAAAATAACCAGGTCGTAGTGGTCATCTTCCATATCGGAGTTGTGTGTCGGAGATTAGAATCGGAATCAAAATTGTATGTCAGAATCGCGTTAGAAAGTCGGAGCAAGATCCAGGTTGAAGTCGAGGGTCCGAATGTTTTCAAAATATATTTCAGATTTTGAAATTCAAATTTAGGATCTGGAACACGTACGGAACCTCTGAAATAGGTATTCCGGAAGCAACAAAATGGGCCGGTCCACCCGAAAATGAGTCTGAAATACGTTCTGAAACAGCCTATTCTGGAGAATATGATTATTTTGAAAATAATGGGTTATATTTTTAAAAAAATACATAAAAATGGTTAGTTTACTCAATTTCCATTTGTTTTATGTCCCAATATCATTTAAGAAAGGAGGAAAAATTGAGGTCTATTTCTTCCAATTCCTTTGATCATCTCGTGCCTATGCCTTCTTCACAATAACTTTGTTGTTGGTAATTTGGCTTCTTCTCACACTTGGTCACTTGCTCGATTCGAGACTCATCACGAAACATATATTATTTAATTTTCCATCTTTAACACTTTATATTTTAGTTTAATTTATTTATTCAAATTGAAAACCTAATTAGCCAATTAGTTGTTAAATTGTTATGTTGTGGGTGATATTAGGTTTAAATATCTAATTCGATATTTTAAATCTTTAATTGTGCTTGTAGGGATTAATTGCACAAAATTGATTTTAATGATTTAGAAAAGGTGTATTTTGATAGTTAACTTAAAACCTATTATCACTCTTTCATTGATGATGGGAAATTTGGTAATTCGAAGGACATTACATACCTTTCTTGTTTAATGGTGGAAACCGAAAAACATCGTTGTTTTCCTTTGGTTTATAAGTTATTAAAGTTGACTAATGTTTTTCCCGTCGCAACAACAATTGTTGAAAGATGTTTTTCCGCAATGAAGCTTTTGAAAACTGACTTGCGTAATAAAATATGTGATGATTTTATGAACGATGCTTTGATTTGTAGTGTAGAAAAAAAACATTGCGGATGTTAAGATCAAACGAGTGATGTAACGCTTTTAAAAATGGGTAAACGAAGAGGTCAACTTTGAAATGTAAGACTTTTGCGGCAGTTTTAACTTCTATTGAAATTG